GGAAATGAGTGAAGGAAGCATGTTTCTGGCATGTGCATATTATTGTTACTCCTCACTGAATTCCCCTCCTCTCTGATTTCCGTCTGCCAAATATTAAGGAGAAATCTCTGTAACATAGGCTTATTGTCCACACCCCTGGTGGCCGTGCACCATGCACTGCACCTTCTGAAGTCAGAGCTAAAAGACAGCCTTCCTTCCTCCTGTCTTTCTTCTCATCTTTCCTCCCCTTTCCTCTATCCCTCTCTCCTTCCTTTCCTCCTTTCCTTCCTTCCTCCCTCCCTCCCTCCCTCCCTCCCTCCCTCCCTCCTTTCCTTCCTTTTTTCCTTCCTTCCTTTCTTCCTTCTTTCCTTTTTTCCTTCTTCCCTCCCTTCTTCTCTTCCTTCTTCCCCTCTTCACCATATTGTTCTGTTGGATATTTTGTCATAACAGGCAGAAAACTAACCAATCTGGTCTGTCAATACAACAAAAGTTCATTTTTCATCAAAATCATAGATCTTTCAAAGTTTGATGGAAGTTAATGAATCGCAGCATGGGTTCAGGATGGAGAAACAAACATGCACTCTTTGTTACCTAGAGTTACTTGGGGACCCAGGTTGGTGGGGGATCCTAAATCTATAATGTCTGTCCTTTATTCTTGTAACAGGTGAAAGGGCAACTGCCAAGGTCTCCTAATAAGCTTTTCTCTTTTGGTCTAGGGATGCACACTGCATTTTCAGCCACACCTGTAAGATCAGCTTGTAAGCAGGGCTGTGAGTTTATGAGATTCTGAGTGAACACCACTGTTTCTGTCATGATACCTGGGGGAAATGTGAAGTGTGAGGAAAAGATACTGGTTTGGGAATCACAGTTGATATGATACATTGAAGTATACTATGGAGGTTTGAAGGAGAAAGCCCCCATAGGATCATATGTTTGGTTACTCTGTCCCTGGTTGTTAAAACTTAGGAAGGATTAGGAATTGTGGTCTTGTTTGAGGTGTGTCACTGGAGGAGTGGGCTGAGCTTTGAGGTTTCAAAAGACTTATGAGATTCCTACTACTCTCAGATCAAGATTCAACCTCTCAACCTCCTGTCTCCACCCCTTTGCTCCTGCATTGTGAACTTCACCCTCTAAAACTGTAAGCCAAATTAAATGTGTTCGTTTATAACCTGGCTTGGTCTTGGTGTTTTATTCAGAATAGGAAAGTAATGCAGTAGGACAGACACCCTAATTTTTTGTGTGTCTGTGTGATTTGCATCACAAGAGAACTAGCATCAATATTTTGTTTTAAGTTTGTAGGAAATCCAGACTGGTGAATATTCTTCAAATCTCCCTGTAGTAGCACTCAGCCTCTTCCAGCTCACAAAATTAATGACTGTAGTGTTTAAATTCTCTAAGTGGAGGGAATGTGGTACCTAGAAACTCTGCTTAAAAGCAGCCTGCTACTCAGTACAGAGGGCTTGAACTCACCGAAGTTCAGAAGAGAAACTTGAAACTGCCCTAGAATACAGAATACAGAGGAAAAGCCACTGTGTTTTGCTTTCACAAGCACCACTGGGTGTCACTAGCAGTCTAAAAGTTACAAACACAGGAGAGTAAAAACAACCATAAAAAAAAAAAAACCCAAAAACAAATAAACAAAAAACAACCCACTGAGATGGGAAGAAAACATGTAAATCATGGCCAAAAAGTAAAAAGTGCCGTAAGATGGCCATAGGCAGCACTTAGAGGGAGCAGTAGGAGTCTTGACTTCTACTCAGCTGTAAAGACTTTTACACAGACTTAAGGGGTGTGCTATTTCTTAGTGTATATGACAGTACACACATGATTTTTTGTGATCATATGTGTGTACCTGGGAAGCAGAGAGAGATGACTATCCATTACAGCTTTCCAAGCATTTACTATTAATACTTTCATAAAGATAAGGAAAAATTTGGTTTTATATAGGAGTGTTTACTGAAGTGTTGAATTAGAAATAGATTGAAGGACAATGAATCAAAAATATGTATCCCTTTAAAAATGTCAGATTATGCACTGATGAAATGGCTCAGTGGTTAAGAACACTCACTGATCTCCTAGGGGGCCTGGGCTCAATTCCTAGCACCCACATGGAAGCTCCCAACATCTGTAACTAGAGTCCCAAGAAATTAAATATCCTCTTTGGCCTCTTTGGTAATCAGGAACACATGTGGTGGTGCGTGTACTGACATACATGTAGACAAAAGATCCATACATATATAAAATGAATTAAAAATTTTTAAATGTTAGATTAGGCTAAGTGAAAGAAAACTTTTCATTTCTAACTGAAATTCTTATTTAATCATTTGGTGACTCAAGCTGAATGTGTGCTCCATGTGTCTCAAACAGAACTGGGGACAGGGGCTGGAGAGAGGGTGCATCTTCTAGGAGCTTGTGCAGAGGACTCAGATTCAGTCCTCAGCACACACATGGCAGCTTACAACCACTTGTAGTTCCAATTTCAGAAGTTCTAATACTCTCTTCTGACCTCTATAGGTGCTTACATGCATGTGGGCCACATATATATATATATATATATATATATATATATATATATATATACAGGCACACAAACAAATACATAAAATACATATTTTCAGAAATCAAGGCTGCTGGTAGATAAAGCAAATATTATTTCAATTTTTTATACTTTTGAAAGTGATAATTACCCAGTGTTTGATCAGTGGTGAAAAGGAACATTGTGGTGGTTTGAATATGCTTGGCCCCGGAGTGGTACTATTAGGAGGTGTGGCCTTGTTGAAGTAGGTGTGGCCTTGTTGGAGTAGGTGTGGCCTTTTTGGAGGAAGTGTGCCTTTGCAGATGAGGCCTTTAAGACCCTTGTTCTAGCCAACTGGAAGCCAACTTTCTCCTGTCTACCTTTGGATGAAGATGTAGAACTCTCAGCTCCTCCATATCCTTGTCTGCCTGGACACTTCCATGTTCCTGCCTTGATGATAATAGAGTGAAATTCTGAACCTGTAAATCAGCCCCAGTTAGGTGTTCTTCATAAGATTTCCTTGGTCATAGTGTCTGTTCACAGCAGTAAAACCCTAACCAAGACATTGTTCTATAAAATATCACTGGTTATTGTAAAACTATATAGTGAAAAGAATAGTATGAAGGAAACTAACACTAGCTATTATTCTGGGATTATCTGTTTTATTTATTTGGGCTCATTTTGTAAATGTTTTGATAAGCCAGATATAGCAGTACACACCTGTAAGTGCTGTGACTTGAAAGAGCTTGGAGGGTAATTTGAGAGAATCAATTGAGCTCACAAGTCTGAGACCAACCTGGATAACATAGCAAAACTTTATCTTGAAAGCTAAAAAATGTATGCAACACTCCAGGGTAAGTGAACAAGATCCCTGAGTCTCAGGCTCCCCTGTTCTTTGGAATACTGAAATCACTATGTTAGTATGTTTTTTTGTGTGTGTGTTTTTATTTTTGTTTTTCTTTCGGTTTTTCGAGACAGGGTTTCTCTGTGTAGTCCTGGCTGTCCTCGAACTCACTCTGTAGACCAGGCTGGCCTCAAACTCGGAAATCCGCCTGCCTCTGCCTCCCAAGTGCTGGGATTAAAGGCGTACGCCACCACTGCCTGGTGTTAGTATGTTAAATACAGGTTTCAATGTCCAATTTTGGGGTTACAGCGGAATCATTTTGAAAATTAAAAATATATTGAATCTCTTCTAAGATTTCTACTTCATTGATCTAGTGTACTGGGCAAAGTTGTTTTTCTTTTTTGTGGTTGTTTGTTTGTTTGTTTGTTTGTTTTTAATTCCTAGGCACATCTAAAGCCTAGCCAAGGTTATAAGCTATTGCATCAAAGGATCATTGGTTTTACAAATCTTTATTACTCTGTGTGAGCAGGGACATGCATGATACCACATATTATGTGGAGTCAGTTCTTTCATCATTCCATGGACTCTGGGCTACAACTTAGGCTGCCAGGTTTACAAAGCACTCTTACTCCATTGCTCCCCCCCTTAAATAAAAAAACAACAACCGGCGTCTCTGTGCTGCCCAACACTTGGGTTCAAGTGATCCACCTCAGCCCCCACAGTAGCTTACTTTACAAGTACTTGCTCTGGTTTACGGAGAACGCTTGCAAACCTGTAAGACTCATTTAGCTTTTACCTCTGAGCATAAGAATGAGAAATTCTGTTTTGTTTTGTTTTGGTTTTCAAGACAGGGTTTCTCTGTGTAGCTCTGGCTGTCCTGGAACTCACTCTGTAGACCAGGCTGGCCTCGAACTCAGAAATCCACCTGCCTTTGCTTCCCAATTGCTGAGATTAAAGGCGTGCGCCTCCACTGCCCGGCCGAATGAGGAACTCTTATTGTGTTGGTTTTAATATAATACCAAAAGCGAAGTAGGTAGTTAAAAAATTGAAAGTGAAAACACACCCTCTCCCCTTAAATCTAACTTTTAAAAGCTTTAGTATACACATGTACTTAACCTATTTGGATCTCAAGCAATAAGTTATTTGTGTTAAAGAGATTAAAGAGAGCATATCACACATGGGAACCTGTATGTTGTACAGTATGGAATTGGACCTTTGGGTATGCAGTATATGACTGTCAAGTTTTCCTATGTTCTAGGTATTATTTCGCTTAGGCATGAGATTGCTGGGTGCATTAAATTTGGATAAATTTAGAGTGAGACCAATAATCGTTCTTTTAAAAAAGAAAATGATGCCACTTATGGTGAAAGAGCAGGGAAGGCTGGTTGTCACCATCAAACCAACTCACCCCGCCTGAGTTGGGGGGTGGCGGCGTGGGGAGCCAGTACTTCCTGGCACGTGACCCTTGCCCCGCCCCTTCAGAAACTCGCCTCACGCAGGCGCATGACGCAGGGGCTGCGGGAGCCGCGTGTCGAGGGCGGGGCAAGGACCCCGGCGTCGTAAGTTGGGTTCTCGCGGTGCGGGAACTGGGAGCGGGCGGGGTGGGGGCGGAGCTTTCTGGCATGCTACTTCCGGGCGGACACCGGCCGGGGCTGGACTTCCTGCGGCGGCTGCCAGCCGTTCAGTGTTCCCGCGTGTCTGAGCTGGGAACATTTGGTCCCAGGGCTGGCGTTCAATAATGGCTCGGCCTCCGGAAACAGCCTCAGTGTACTGTTCACCTTGACAGTTGAGCCGCAACCGGGACATGCAGCCATTTAAATACGCTTTCCCGCACTTGCGCACGTAAAGTATGAAAGCTAATCCTTCTGATGTCCCACGCACCCCGAATGTTTTTCTGGGATGGCCGTCGGGACTGCTCCCGGTTGCTGTGCTGTCCCTGGCGCCGCCCAGTCTAGCAGCTGCGGGCTGTCTTAGCAAATAAAGCTGGCGTTAGAACTGCGGAAGTCATGGAGGTGGCTACCCATCTAGTGTTTCCTGAGGGTGCACCCAGCAGTACATAGTAGAGCAGCGTTAACGTGGTTTTCGTCTGCACACCCTACGATACAGGCCGCTTATGAAGCATTCCGGGATTCAGACCCAGGTGAAACTCCTTGCCATCTTTAATACCAGACATTGGCAGTAATTTGCTTAGCTCCATGGCTTCATTAAATTGGGCAAGTGATTTTACTTTAAATGTTTGTGAACACAGTCTTGTATATTAGCATGATTTAAATTCGGAACCATCTTTTTTGATACCCGTATGCATTGCAAATATAAAGCTCTCTATACATTTTTGCTGAACGGTTTTTATGGCTTTCAAGATGATTTTCTTTCAGGCCACATTTTTTTTTTCTTTATAAATCGCTGGCTGCTAGTTACATAAAAGTTAAACCAAGCAACATACGAGTTTATGGATATTTAGTTTTGTGAGGAGTAATGAATATTTACATGCGAAGTGTCCAAGCGGTAGTCAAATGTAGCTAGTCATAGGTATTTATCATCATCAGACTGCTACTGACTAAAGCGTTTCCCTTCCCCAGCCTAAAAGCAAGAGTGTCACCCTGGAGATAAGTATTGTGATAATGTGTGGGCCAAGTGCCCACTCTTGGTAAGAGCCCCTTAGTCATTGCTCAAGAGGAGTGACACTTAAGTGTGAGTACCTTTAATTTCATGTCTTTTGTCTCCAGTGACTGTATACGTGAATAAATTATCTACATTAGAAAGGTGCTTAAAACTTCTGGGGCTATCCACTTACCTAAAACAGTTTCATGTGGAATTCTCACTTTAAGAAACCTAATTTTAGGGATCTAGAAACAAAACACTTTCTCTCTCTCTCTCTCTCTCTCTCTCTCTCTCTCTCTCTCTCTCTCT